ACCATTCGAGCCACAGAATTCGTTTTGGCATCGTTGGATAGAGAATTGAATTGACCCCCTCCTGGATCCGCCCTTGGTTGAGTTTCTCCATGGCTTTGAGGCCGCTTTCAAGCAACTTTGATACAGTCGATACAAGTGGAAAACATTGAAAGCTATATAGGTACTCACCTTCCTAATGATCAGTCTGGGTAGTGCCATGCCTGTAACAGAACAAACAAGCTTGACAGTGGCCCCATAATGAATATAACCATCTCGAACTTGGAATTCTTCGCTCTCCGACTCGTTGTCATCCAGTAAATGGATGGTGAACGCGCCCCATTGAGTGGAACTGGCATGGAAATGTCCATTTTCCACATGCAAATACCTGGTGGAAACTGTTTGGGATCGCAGCCGATTGAACAGAGCCACTTTGGTGCCGCTCGCTATACAAAGATCTGCATTCTTGAGGCTCTGTTTCTTTTTCGAGGGTTTCGATATCACTTTGATCCGCTTGCTCTGAAACACCCCAATATCGTGCCCGGAACCGTAAAACATTTTCACTGACAACATAAAGTGTTTTCTCTTGTCCGAGTCGGAAATGTAAAGAGTCTTTGCTGCACAGTACTGCTTGCCATTGTTCAGATCCAGTTGCTGCATGTCCTGATCGGAGTTTCCAATGCCAATGAATGCACACAGTTGCGAGTTGGTTTCCGATTCGCCCTCTCTGAGCATTTGCTCCTGTCGCAGCCTCCAGCCGTCTCCAAACAGGTAAATGCACGGAGGAGGACAGAAGAACCTCTTTTCATTGCCGTAGGATTTCTGAGCCACTTTGGCGTGAAGGATCACGATCACCATATCAGACCTTTCGCGAAGATACTTCTCCATGGCCTCCCGAGTGAGTCGCCGGTCTTCTCCTCGGTAGCCCCCCGGGACTACGGCCCCAGCAAACCGGGAGTACATGGCAGCGTGTTGGGGTGGAGGAGTTGGAGGCGATTGGGCATGGGCTATGCCAGGCAAACCGTACTGGTGAGGCATTTTCCGATGTGAAGTTGGGGCGCTTCACTGCACTTCACTCAACTGGGGCCCCGCATTTGCAGCATGCTTCTTCACAGGGGCACTTTCACTCAAGCCGACCTGCCAAAACACTAAACACAGATTCACAAACTGAAAGCCGACTCTTCCTCACGGCTACTGCGGGACGTGAGAACTAAAAGCTGTTTATTTCCCCTTCTTTTTATGCCATCATGTCTGGCACATTTCGTGTCCTCCGTTTTGAAAAACACCTGTTTGGCACTTCCATTTTCCGACACTGCCGCCAACCTTCGAAACCTATTGTTTACTGTTCGCTATTTTGCATTTTGCGCACTAAATAGTTAAATTATGGGAGTACTCCTTCGGCCCTGAATATGAGGAGAAGCTCAGAATTTTTTCAAATAATTTAATAATTGAGAAATCAGCTTCTAACTAGGCTGGATAATTTTTGTCATGTTGGCCATACACCCAGAGTGTGGCTGATCGATGATACGAGGGGCGCACCTTACGTATATTTTACGCTCTATATTTTACATCTCAAAAAACAGTAGACTTTTTCGATTTAACAAGCACCCAAATAATAATCTAAGTTTTTTGTTTCTAGTAACTCTCAAATTTTCAACAATTTTCTACGTTGCCGCTTATTCCGTTTACCTAGTTTATCTCAAGCTTTTTGGCAACTTTCTGGTGACTCAACAAATGTCGTTTCTTTTTTTCATAATTTTTGACTGCACGTTTTCCACCAAGAAAATAACACACTTTAACGCTCACAGTTACAGGGGTGGATCCAGCTTTAAAGTCAGGGGGGGTTGAATTCAAGAAGTTTTAGGTTTGCGTGGTTTTTTTTGAGTTGCAAAATCCACTTGAACGTGACGCTGCTTTTTTCGAAGTTTCTCAAGAACCATTCTAGCCACAGAATTCGTTCTGGCATCGTTGGATAGAGAATTGAAAAGTCGATTCAGTTGTAACATCGTTAGTGAGGAAATTCGAATAGTTTTGGCCCAGAAAGCGAAATTTGAATATCAGACACTTAGATGCAAGATTATGCCAAAATTCCATGTTTTCCGTCCCATTTTTGCTCATATCTCGGAGGCAAAATGAGCAAGAACGCTCATTTGTACATCATTCTA